CTCTTGAGCGAGCTCTTAACCAACTGAGCCACTCGGCCGGCCCTCAGAAGTTTTTAGTTTAATGATTTTTCTTCATTCACAGATCATGCTTTTGGTGTTATATCTAAAAACATCATTAAACTAAGGTCATGTAGATTTTCTCTAATGTTATCTTCTAAAAGTTTTACTTTTTGCATTTGGGTCTGTGATCCATTTTGAATTAATTTTTGTGAAAGGTATTAGGTCAAAGTCTAGATTCATTTTATTGCACGTGGATGTCCAGTTCCACATCATCTGTTGAAAGGACTATCCTTTCTCTGTTGAGTGGACTTCACTGCTTTGTCCGAGATCAGTGAACTGTATATTCTGCAGGTCTCTTTCTGGGCTCTCTCTTCTGTCCCTTCTATTTGTCCATCCTTTCACCAGCAACACTGTATTGATTATTGTAGCTTCTATAGTAAGTTTTGAAGCCGAGCATCGTCAGTACTCTGACTTCCTGCTTCAGTATTGAGTCAGCTATTTTGGATCTTCTGCTTTCCATGTAAACTTTAAAAGCGTTTTGTTAATATTCAAAATAACCTGCTGGAATTTTCATTCCAATTGCATTGAATTTGACGATCAGGTTGGATAGAATGTTAGCAATGTAGCCTTCTTACCCATGAACATGGAATCTCTCTGCACTTATTTAGATCGTCTTCGGTTTCTTTCACCAGAGTTTTGTCATTTTCTTCGTACAGAACTTGTTCATATTACTTTCACCTCAGACAGTGAAAGCACTTTAGAACACTATATACTTCTGTTGTATAACTTATGTTTGTCCCACTTGTTTTCCTAAGATGGGATAAATCATGATCAGCGGTAGAATAATTGTAGTTTCTGTGTAAGACATCAATTAGAGCTATCTGCACTGTAGTTGGTTAAGTCAGAAGCTACACTTTTGGAGGAATGGTCAGTGACATGTTCATCCTATTACTTATTTGGCGTTATCCCTACATGCATGCACAGTGTTTAGGGTACAGTGTCACCACTGACCAGGGGCGAGCACCTCTGACTCCACGCGGGGACTGAGTCTGAACAGCACATAATCTGCCTGCATGTGAATTCCGTGTTGGTGGCTCTACTCTGCAGAGCACACACTTATATTTAACATACCCCGTGTGTGTAATTTGCTTTTACTCCCATTATGTTTTCTCCTTATCACGTTTGGTATTTGGAAAATTGTAAGAAAAAGTATATCCTTTTTCCAGAGACATTTTTGGTAAGTTTTACTGGAATCTACACAGTATAACTTGAGGTCAGTAGTAGGCTGGCTTCTGAAAACCCTGTCGTTTTATTGTCTGATTCTACTTGAACACGGAGGAAGTCATGTGTGATTCAGCCATTGCTTTGTGCTCTTTTGAAGTAATAAATGTGTTCTAATTAGCCATGATCAAATATAAATGAAAAAGAATGTTTATGTCTCCATGTTCTGTGCTACTCAGGACCATTAGTAATCTATATTTGGTTCCTCTAAATTTATACTATGATTTGATAAAGAATTATCTACTGAAGATATATTAATAGCGCAATGACTAATCTATATTTTAGATGAAAACTGTGTTCATAGCAATAATACTCTTAATTTTTATTCAACTTTTTCTTTTAAGTGCATACTGCCATCGGCTAAATGTATACCTTTACACAGTATTGCTAGACAAAAACGTTGAACATATTCGTTCATATAGTTCCTAAAATTATCTATTATTTGCATGAATTTATGGAAAGTTGATGCTAAACATTGACTTTTAATTATGTCAAGTTCATGATTTTAAAATAGGTATATATTTAAATTCCTTTAATATCGCCACTTAAGAATATGATTTATTCAGACTGAGTCACATTGCTATACTTACTATGAGTTTCTTCCCAAAATGTGAAGACAAACCCTGAAAGGGGAAAAAGGAAACGGCTGGTCCAGTGCATCCGGCGCTGTGATTTCTGGGATCGGCGTAGCACACTGAGCCCTGGTTGGGTGTGTACTTAGTTCTGCTCCGTTAGAGTCTGGGCTGTGCTTTCTCAGCTCCACCCTCTTTTTTCAAAAAAAGTTTTTTCTTCTCAAGTGTAATTTATGAAAAAGTAGGTTATAGGGCTAAGAGTGAACGTGTGTGGTACCACGTTTTAGACATAAAGTAACTTGGCTATATTTAAGAATAAATTTCTGTAGATTGAACATAAAGGCTGTTTTCATTTTCTGTGTCAAGATACATTTTGGCAGCTTGCATAATCACAGTAAAGGTGTTTTTTAATCCTTTTTATGACCGAGGGCTCAGTGGCTGCTGCTCTGAGGTTGGCATTTAAATTCCACGAACTGTGAGGGACAGGAATAACAAGGCTAAGGTCACGTGTTCTTTCCTGCCCGCAGAGTGAATGGGCTTTTCACTGAGCCTTTCCAGCGAGCTGTCTGTGGGGAGAAACCGTGTGCAAGAAGGGGTGAGAGTGAGCCCGGGGGGGGGGGCTAGAGCCCCCCCAGGCCAGAGCACCAAGTTCAGCAGTGTCCACACTAGCACGTACTTTTGTTTTGGGAACACGCTTCTCAGAGATCTGCATTATATAAGGTTGTAGAGTTCATGACAGCATGAAAAAAAAAATGGGAATGCCTTGATTCTAGCTTGAATCACTCTGATTTAAGCAAAATTATCTTTAGATTCTTATTTTAAGTAGATCTGATTTGCCAAGAATAGAGTGCTTGATTTTCAAATAGTTGAAGTGGGCTTTTTTGCTGTTTTTCATCTCTAACCAGGAATTATTTATGGGTTGAAAGTAGGTGTGAAAGTAATGTAGATTATTTCAATATCTGAAATGACTAAATGATATGATCTGACATTAATGTAACTATATTCTTGGTCATGTGAGGGCTTCCTTTGTGAAGAACTCAGTTTCATGTTGAGCTTTAGGAGAACTTAATTATGGGATACATGAAGTCTCAGTAAGGCTGCACAGTGGGTATTTTGATCATTTGGCATGGTGGAACCATGAGTGCTGGGGATGTGTCTGCCCTCACCGTCCTATTTATGCAGCAAGCTGTTCTGTCAGAGGCCCCTAGAATCACGATGCTTGGGGACTTACAGGTTATGTCCCTATGACTTTTATAAGGTTACATCTTTGCACGAGTTTCTGCCCCCACTGCCCGCCATGGTTACTTTCAACAGCACTGTTCATGGTGAGCTTCGTGCTGAGGAGTTGGTTTATCTGGGACACCATGGGGAAGGGTCAGGGGGAGTGACATGTGATATTTACATTTGGAAAAGTCCCTGGCATCTGTGAGGGAGAAGATCCAGAAGAGAACAAGCTGGGAGTTAAGAGAGATCACAGAGCTGGGGCCTGGGAGACGCCTAAGAGGTCCAACTGGCAGGTTTCCGTGTGTTGGAGGAGTTTGCACAGGGAGGCTCTCCCTCCACCCCATGTGGAGAGATTATTGAGTGAACAGAGCCGGCACATGTCATTCCCACATGCCTGTCTCCTGGGCAGGGAAGGGCTGGCACATTTGTTACCCCAGGAAGCAGGATGTGTAAGGGGCACGGCCTCACCTAGATGTGGCCCGAGTGATGGCAGCGCGCACACAAGGGGATGAGTCTCGGCTGTTGGGGCTGACACAGGCCTGACTGCTTCCTGGCAGCCAGGAGCTGGGATTAGAGAATATGGGGTGAGTTCACTTTCAGATGCACTGAATATGCGGTGCCTAGGAGGGCAGCCAGGTGGACGTGTTCGGGAAAGGGTTGACTTTCTGAGTCTGAAGATGAGGGGCAAGACCGGGCTGGCCATTTGAAAGTCAGATGTCCTAAAATGTCTTGAGAACAGGGCATGGTAGAGTCACTGGCATAGACGTGGCAGCTGAAGTCCCAGTCCAGCTGGTATTTTTCTCTTTCCCCATATTGTACTATAGTCGTAATTTTAATTTTCCTTCATCTACAGCCTTTCATTTCATCCCGAGAATTCCCTTTTATCTCTCCACTGAGCTGTGGTATGACCCACCCAGCACATTTTATTGTTGTTTGGTCTGGTCTGATGGGGGTTCCAGATGACTCTTTGGTCCTCTCAGTTCTCGGTTATCAGACCTACCGTGTTTCCCCGAAAATAAGACCTAGCCAGAGAAGAAGCCCTCGCATGATTCCTCCAGGGTATGGAGGGCACGCACCCCTCACATGAGGGTTTTATGACCTGTTTCAGGAAGAAGGGTGCCTTTTCCACAAACTCCTTCAGCTTAAAATATTCAGTATGCCAAGGTGCCATGTTTTAGCACCTAGAATCATGCGAGGACTTATTTCCCAGCCAGGTCTTATTTTCGGGAAAACAGGGTATTTGGTTCATTCCTGTAATCAGTTGACAGAGAGAGGCTCTGTTCACCTTTATCAGAGTTCAGCAGCAGCGATATGCATACTGCCACAAACTGTACAAGATGTGCTTTGCAAATCAAGCGGTTGCCTTGCTGCGTTTTGGAGTAAGGCTCCTTTGTCCTAGAACATTCTTCTGTCATGTGACTGCAGATGCTTCTGAGAAGTGGCGTAGTCCCAGGAGATACGAGGCAGAACACTGTCCCCGCTGTGGTTTCCCATGGCGTTAATATTTTCCAGGATGATACAAGACCTAATATAAGAAAGAGAAAATAACCTTGATCTTTTATGCCTGACAGATAATCAGATTACTCTGGGGGTTAGATAAAAATAAGTCATTTGTTCCTATAGTTAGTTACTATAATGACCAAAAAAATTTAAGAATGAAACTAGATAAATCAGATTCAGCTTAGAGAATGAGTAAGTTTTAAGGCAAAGTTCGCATTCCCGTGGTGCGATGTTGTAGAGTAAGTTTGCTGTCAGCGGCCTCCCTCTGGAACCGGCCCCCACCGCGGGGCCGCACTCAGTGTTCCCGATGCTACAGGCTCTGAGGGCAGCATGGACTGGGCTTCACTGTTTCACTTTCCTTCATCTCTTCACAAAAAAACACACAATGGCTTTTCCCCCTAACATATCTGGTTGTATTCACAGGCCGCGTGCTCATTGAGATTTCAAGTACCCACAAGAAACTCGATGAGAATTTTAAAGAAAATGTATGTGAACTCTTTGTGTGTTTACAAATTATATTTATTTTTAAATTTTATTTTGCTTAGTCTCAAATCTGGTATGAATTTTTTATTTCATCTTGTTAACAGTTCAAAACATTCCATAAAGAGATTATACATGAGCTGGAGAAGAAGACAGAGCTTGATATAAAATACATGAACGTGAGTACAGGGTTCCACCTGCATGGATGGAGACGGGGCCCGGGGCCGGCTCTCCTGGAGGCTGTGCCTGCCTGAGCCCTGAGCCTGAGGAGAATGTTCCCCACTGATTACTCAGCAGCAGCAAACAGGGATGGAGCTTGGTGGTGTTTGTACATGAGTGCACAAGACCAACAAGGTCCCTCTGGGCTGAGTGGGCTCGTTTTTGCTAACACTTGGGATCTGTATTTAAAAGCATAGAAAAATTATTGCAAGGACTCATACTGCTTCTGGAAAGCGTTGTTTTCAAAGAACACACATATGCTGATGACATCTGTGTCTGCATTGATGCAGCTGTCGCTTTCACAAAGCAGCACTTCAGGATGTGAGGTGTGCGTGGGAGAACACCGCCTGGGGCTCCCAGGTTTGTCAGAGACCACGCCTGCATGATATCTCTTGCCTGTCAGCCACCTTGTTGGCTCCAGCAGTTTTCTCCTTCCTCCTGGACTCCAGTCCCAGCACACAGGGCTCTTTCTAGCTCCTCTGTTTGCTATAGAGCAGCTGCTTTCTTTGCCACCCAAGGTCCCCTTTCTTCTTACCAAGACCTCCATGTGGCTATAAGCGGTGGTGCCCCTGTGTGCACGTGCTCTGTGTACCCTGGAAGAGGGCTACAGGGCCACCTGTGACTGCTGATTTTTATCCCTATAGGAACTCCATGGTGTAGGTACTCTTATTATCCTCACCACTGTACAGGTTAGAGGGGAAAGATGGATTTTAGAGAAATTAAGTAATTGCTGAGGTTGCAGAGAGTGAGGGAAGAAGCCAGAGTTCTAACCCGGGTCTGTTAGTCTCCAGAAAACTCTGCCATACAGCACCCAAATAACCAGAAATGATTATACTTCCTCATTCTCTTTTGAAATCATAAGTCATAAAATAATCAGGAACATGAGATTTAATATTTTGTTTATTCACCAAAACAATTACTGACTCACTCAGTGTCCAGAAATCTTTAAGGAAAGAAGGAACAAGAAAAAAAAAAAGAAAAGACATTGTTATCCTCTGAGAGCTGCCCTTTGGGTCAAGGGCCCCTCATATAAACACGGACCTTCAGGACAAAGCAGCAAATGTGACAGGGAGCGGGGCAGTGCGAAGTGTGGGTGTGCAGGGCCAGGTGAGGGCAGTTTGAGGTGTGGCCACACCCAGCCATGCCCACTGGAAATGTTAGCAGATATCTCCCTGAGTGTCGGTAGGTGCTGCAGTAAAATATATGCAACATTTAACTTACAGGCCACTCTCAAAAGATACCAAACAGAACACAGGAGTAAATTAGATTCTTTGGAGAAATCTCAAGCCGAGTTGAAGAAGATCAGAAGGAAAAGTCAAGGAGGACGAAATGCACTCAAATATGAGCACAAAGAAATTGAGGTGAGCTCTTCTGCACTACTTTGTTGGTTGTTGGTGATTTGTTCAGTTTATGGGGAACCCTGCTCCCTCAGCCTGGGCTTGAGCCATGGACTGCTGTGCTGCTGTTGAAGTCGAAAAGAAGCATTTTGGCTTAGGATGAGCTGAAAGCTACAGAGTTTTCCGGCATTAAGAACAATTAGTTAGTGGCCTCCTACCAACACCAGCATCTTCTCACACGGTGCGGGGTGGGGAAGAGACTCTCCATGACTGGCATTACTATCTCTGTTTTACAGATGGGTAACACGAGGCTCAGGTTAAGTCATATGGTTAGCATTAGCACTGGGGTTTGAACTTGAACGTTCTGGTTCCAAAGCCCATGATTTTCCAATAGAACATGACCTTATACCTAGAGTATGAAGTAATATTTGTGCAAATTGCCCAGTGGAAGGTAAGGCCTTCGGCACCTTCTTTTCACACAGGAGTCAGGGATCTTAATGAGAATGATGGTATCTGCTCAGGTCAGATTACATCTTTGTTATTTTGTCTAATGTTTATCTGCATTTAATAGTTACTCCGTTATCAAAATAAACCAGGTGTAAAGATGGCAGAAGATAAATGTCAGGCTGTGTAGCTATTTGCTTCCTTGTGTCATACTTGTGTAATTATTATTTATTTCCCTAGTATGTAGAAACCGTTACTTCTCGCCAGAGTGAAATCCAGAAATTTATTGCAGATGGTTGCAAAGAAGCTCTACTTGAAGAAAAAAGGCGCTTCTGCTTTCTGGTTGACAAGCACTGTAGCTTTGCGAGTCACGTGCATTATTATCACCTACAGGTGGGTGTGCGGGCAGGTCGTGTTGCGCGTGTGATTTCATTTCATATTTAAATGCCCTTGAAATGCTGCACCTTCCATACATGCCAACAGACAGCACTGGGCCTTTCTGCCAATGAGATTTCAAAGAAATCATTTTGGGCCAACTGGAATATGTAAAGTTAGAGAAATATTGATGAAATGGTCAAATGTCAGCTTATGATATTTAATTAATTTAGTACTACATTCATATTTAAAATCTTTTATAACATTGTGTTTAATAATTGAGAACTGGTACTGTGTTCCTTTCCTCACTCCTATGACGCCTGTGAGTCAGCTTTTCTCGGCTCTCAGTGATGCATCTTCAGCTTCAGTGTCCTCACCAGAGCCACAGGGCGAGTCCCAGCAGGTCCCAGGCCCACTCCGCCTGGATGGTCTGAGATGCTCACCAAGGGGGTCCATGTAGATGGTGTCATTGGAAATTGTATCCCAGCCACAGACCCACTCACAGCATCAGGACAGTTGGTCGTGGTCACCTGTCATTCCTCTTCAAGGCATTTGTTCATGATCTCGTCAACCGAGTGACTTGGCGTACTGCCCTCTTTCAGCACATGCAGCTGTGAGGTTGTGCCCCCACGAATCATTACAAGACATGTTTTAAATTTCCCTTCCTCTTCTTTTGTTAAATTATGAATTCTATGGGGCCTATGTAAGCATCCAGAAGTAGCATTGATTGAAGTTAATTATTCATTGTTATTCATAAAAAAGTAATGGGGAGCATGTTCCATGATACAAGAAGCTATGTAAGAGCTTGAATATAAGGCAACTTCCTCTTTTTTTTCAGGGGGAAAAAAACTTGGCCTTGTATGTGTGCATATAGCGTATGTTACATAGTCTATAACATTTTTGCAACTTGAAGGAATATTCAGCTACCAAATCTAAAGACCTAAGATCTAAGATTGTTACAACAAAGAATTGCTGTATTAGGTGATCACGTTTGTCAACAGTGCACCTGTAGTCATTTCAGCAATGTCGGTTTCCATGGTGAGGGTGGCCTACTGGGGCAGGGTCATAGGCTGGAGAGAGACAGAAGCGACCTTGAATTTGTTCTTCTCTGGTGATGCCCTGCCAGCGATGGGGCACTCACTGTGTCATGTGAGTGCCAGAGAGGTGTAGCTGTTGGCAGTCTTTCTTATCTTCAACCTTGGGACCCAGTTAGGCTTTTGAGAGTGACACAAGCCCAATCTACTTCTTTCTATACCGGAAGTCTCTTCTACTCTCTGAAAATCCCTTTGGTTCCTTCTCTCATCCTGCCTAACGCGTCCCAGTCCTTCCAGTGGCTCCTTGGATGAAGCAAGCCCAAGCAACTGGTGTGTCAGGGTGACCGTCGGCGGGCAGAGGTGGTTTTGGGGAGGAGCTCTGCCCTGTCTTAGTATTTACATCAACACCCCCAGCACACCTGATGAATACAGAGTCTAAGTGAAAACAAAGTGGTAGCAATGAAAAGAGCTTCAAAAGCCTACTTCCCTTTTCCAATCAGATTGCTGCCCTGGAAAGGGGGTTCATTGAAAGGCTTTCAGGGAACCTCTGTGAGTCCAGTTGTAAGAAGCTGAGCCAGGCTCCTGGGAGCCAGGGACTGATGCCTCTGCCCCTGGGGCTGTGGCACTTACCTCTGTCATTCTGTGTGTCTCTGTCCTGCAGCCCAGCTCCTCTGCAGAGCCCGCAGTGTGCTTGCCCCAGAGCCCCAGTCAGCCATGGCCAGGGCGTCCCCTCCACACTGTCCCTGACACTACAGTCTGCCTCTAGTCCCTGTGTCCCACCCAGGAACTTCTCAGGACAGGTCTGAGTCACTTCTCTAACATGTAAATCCGGTTCCCCTGGGGTCAGAGAGTCTGTTCCTGGTCCTGTTGCCTGTGTTGGAGGTGCTCCTGGTAGAAGGAGCGGGAGGAAGGGAGCAGTGATCGGCATTTCTGGGGCCCTTGGGAAAACAGATTAATAAGGATTGCTCAACACTTCTCTGTTCGTTTTTGAACTTGTTCTTAATCATTTACAGTCCTTGTATTAGTCTTCAACTCTATTCACAGGAGGAGCGAGGGTAAATTCCTTTAGCACAGGAACCCACATCCTTCTCAGCAAATAAGACAGAACAGATACTCACAGATGCTTAAAGCACTCATTGAATGTAACTCAGAGCTCCCATACTTCTGGTGGTAGCAAGCCAGTAAATCATAAGTGATAGTATTTGATGGACTTCGTGTCAGCCGTTCGAACGATACACATTTGTCTTCCGTTTTGTTTCTTCTGGATTTGCAGTCTGCAGAATTACTTCATTCCAAGCTGCCTCGGTGGCAGGAGACCTGTGGGGATGCCACCAAAGTACCAGCAGAAATCATCAACATGATAGAAGAAATAAAGACCCCCATCTCTACCCCAATATCCGGGACACCTCAGCCTTCACCAATGATCCAGAGAAGCAACATGGTAGGAACTGGTTATTGCTTTGAGATTTCAGCTGTGTGTTTACTAACATGACCTGGACCAGATTTGCACGAAGGGCCAGGGCCTTTTTTGTCAGTGGGCACCACGAGCCCTCCTTTATTACTGCTTTTGTCACGTTTCCCCCCTTACCTTCAGATTCGGAATTAGCTGTGCAAATGTTTTGTGCTGTGTTCAGCACTGTTGTATTTTAGAAGTTTTGTTACTGTTTTTAATTGTGATGATTCCAACTTTATAAATTTATTCTCAGTGAAGGAAATATAGGTGACTTAGAGACTAGATTAGCAAAACTCTGATGCCATTCATCACAATATAAGGCGCTTCAGAAAAAACAGTCACCCAAATATTCAAGGTGATGAATTCGAGCTCTAGTTTGCTGTTCTTTGAACCTGGGCCTTAGTACTTCGCACATACACATGTGGAGAGCTGGATCGAGCAGGTGGTTTGAGCATGAGTCCACCCTACCTCTCCCTCTAAAACTGTCTGAAACAACAGCCACGACACTAAAGAGCAGCCGACCGCCTACCGAATAGACCCATGACCGCATGGGAATGAGAAGGCGCTGCCAGAGGGCCCGGAGTGCGGAAGGAGTCTCTCCAGCCCGGTGGAGACCCACACAGAAGGGCGCCTCAGCCCCAAGAAGTGCAGGGCAGGATTCCTTCCGACAGCGGAGCAGTGAGGTCAGAGCCAGGGACACAAGCAGCGGGGAGAAGCTGGGGTGCTGCTCTGTGCATTTGGGTGCGAACCGATTCTGACCAGCTAGGCTGGCCGCTCCCTTCCCCTGTCCCCTTGTGGCAAACAGCAGGGGCAGGCACCTGGCTTCCTCCTGTGATACGGAGAGCCGGATACAGGGCCTGCCGCACATACAAAGATGTGCAGATAACCAGGAAGCACTGAACAGGCGAGGAAACCAGCGTCATAGCAAGATGCGCCGAAATAAAAACCGGAAGGACCCGTGTTGGAGGCAACAGAGCCAGTAGGCAGAGGAGAAATCTTTAGAAAGATGAAAGGATAGTCCATCCATAGACAAGAGGCAAGTAGAGATCTTGGGAATTGGAAATTGGATTATTATTTATAGTTAAAGTGATATGTGTAGGATCGCTTCAGAATAACCCGGGCATGAGGCAAGTTAGGGGCGGCGGTGGAGGTGGGGGCATGCATGAAACAAGATTGGCCAGGAAATGGTAGTTGTTGAGACTAGGTGTTGGGTACATGGAGATTTATTGTGCTGTTCTCTTGACTTTTGTACCTGTTTGAAATTTTTCTAAAAAGTTTTTGTTTTTCATTTCTCTCCACCCTTTAAACAAACAAAACAACGATAGTTCGACTTGTTAGCAGAATGGAACCGCTTGAAAAATTAAGCCAAACCACTCTCTCAGAACAAAGTGCAAAAACAGAAAGAGGATTTATTTTTTTTTTTTTAAATATCAGAACAAGGATAAACATGTTAGACCAGGCGAGACACAGGAGAGCGAGTCAGCTGCCTGCTGAACGTCACCACCTGATACCCGATGAAGATCTCAAATCCCACTTGTCCAAAACCACGTCACTGATTTTCTCGCTCTGTACCTGCTTCTCCACAGCCTTCCCCATCAGTAGCTCAGAAGACACAAAATGACAACTCCTTTCTTGCTTGTACGCCACAAACAATCCGTGGGCACACCCTAGCGCTGCCACCTTCTAAACCTGTCCCAGGTCCAGCCACTCCTCACCCCTCCCCTGTTTTAAGGTCTCCTGCGGAGACCACTGCAGTAGCCTTCTGCCTGGTCTTGAACACGGCAGCCAGAGTGAACCTGGATGAATGGAAAAGACCAAAACCTAATACATTGCAGAATGTTAGGGTTGACGAGAAAATTCTGAAGACTTCTAGGGAGGGGGATAATAGATCACTTACAAAGAAAAGAGAATCCTACTGATACCAGATTTCTTGTTAGCAAAACAGAATGGTAGAAATTAATGGAGCAATGCACTCAATTCTGTGGAAAAATTATTTCTAATGTAGAATCCTATAGCCAAGTGGCACTTAAGAGGGAGGCTAAAATCCACAGAAACAGAAAGTAGATTAGTGGTTGCCAGGGGGCAAGGGAAATGGGGAATAACTGCTTTGTTTGAAAGAACATGGTGGTGGTGAAATAATTCAAAATGGGGCATTGCCTTACAGCTAGGAGAAGCTTGGAAAGAAAGTGGAATTTAAAGCATGTAATACAAAACAGCCCTAGGAATTTGTAACCCTATTGCTGTATTATACTAATATTAAAATAGTACAGACTCTTTCACAAGTTGGGAAAGACGATGACACCCTTTCTAAATATTCGCCCAAGGTGCCCCCAGCTCCCTCCGCCAGAGCGAATACCAGCCCTTTGATTGATATGTTTAATAACCCAGCAACAGTTGCACTGAATTCAGGTAAGATATTTCTTTTGAAATACCTTTTTAAATTTTTTAAATATTTCGGATAAATGTAAGGTAGAGATAAATAAGCATGCACAGCAGCACACGTCCAACCCTGGCTTGGAGGAGCTTACACCTCACAGCAAATCAAGTTCTGGGCTTATGACAAACCATAAGATATTCTGTGAGTGACACATTTCTCTGACACAATTCTGTATACTGATTGATGTTTACAAGAGTAAATATACTATTGAAAAGTGTTATATTTTAAAATGGGATATAACGTACAGAGAGCCTCACACCACGGTGTGTGCTCCATATTTGGTGCCAACTAAAATAAAATTTCTTTTTTCAGTAAAACAATAAAAGTTCACGTGGCGAAATTATGGTTGTTAATCTTACCAGTAGGCTTAGTTTTAATTATAATCAGTGATTTTCATCATCTCTAACAGCACATCATGCTTTCTAGCGACTTAAGTTCTAACTGCTTCAATTTCTTAACTCTGTTGATTCTGTTGCAATAAATCAGGACCAGTTATTGTTCACAGACATCTCAGGCGGCTTTGGTTAGGCTCTCCTCTGCCTGCCGTCTTTGGCACCCAGGGCCCTGGAGACAGTCGCGGTGGCCGACCCCTTCTCTGTGTGGGGTGTCTCACAGGCCCCTTCGATGTGAAAGTCAGCAACCAAGCCATGTCCTGGGGGAGCCCCGGACCGCAGCGTTGGCAGCTGTCGGGAAGAGCTGGGATTTTCTGAATAGCAGCGGAGAGGATAATCGTCTGTAGTCATTTGCCTTTGAAGGAAGGGCTATAAATTCTGTATAATGTAAAGGTAAAGCATGTAAGGCTGTGCGTATCCCAACCACTCAAGTGATTCTTTGAAAAAAGAAAGATGAAAATAAGGGCTAAATGAAATTTACTGGTGGACTCAACACTACCTAGGTAATGCGTGGCATGTTAAGCAGATGGCAAAGTTTATATTGTAATTATTAAGAATCTGCAAGAATAAAGCAGAAAGACATCTTGGCATTTTTTAAATTAAGTACTAGGCTAGCAACATTTGAGGGGAAAAAAGTATCTGAAAAGAAGAAAAACTCCAATTTTTTTGAGCGCTAAGTATCAGCCTGTATCTGAGTTGAGACAAAAATGCATGGCAGGTGCTTCGTGCAGTGCAGCCAGGCTGTGGCGCCGGCTGCGGGCCAGCTGTGGCCCTGGGTGAGTCATGTGGACGAGAAGAGCACCTGCTCAGCAGCTGTGCAGCGCTGAGAGGACCTGTCCTCCCCACACCCTGACCACGCTCACGGGTGACAAGTTGAGCAGCCACAGCAGCAGGAACACCTGCATTTCTAGTTTCCTCCTTTTCTCTGTGACCTGGGGTGTCGCAGTTGGATTGGAGGTGGTGCCCCCCACTGCCGTTGTGAATTGGCCCGAGCGCGCAGGGGAAGGGAGGCATAGACGACCATCTGGCTGGTGATGGAGCAGCCCGCCTCCCTAAGAGGGCCGTCGGACACTTGGCGTGCACGCCAGCTTCAGCCTCTCAATCGGCTCAATAGCCGCAAGCCTCAGGGACCCTCCTCTGTGCGACCTCGGGCCACGGCTCTGCCTCTGGAAGTTCCTGAGTCCCTATCCTGCCAGGCAAGGGTCGTGGTGTGGAAATAGCACGGTTGGTGTTTGAGAGGAACCACTGCTTGCAGGATGGGAAGGGGTGGTTTTCTGGGGGTCGTGTGTTGGAATTGGCCTAATTATCCTTCTTTGAAAAGCCATCTGTTAAAAGCCATGTTCGTTTTTAACAGATTCTTCAGATGACCCCAGTTTACAGCGATCGGTTTCTGTTGCGACTGGACTGAACATGATGAAAAAGCAGAAAGTGAAAACCATCTTTCCACATACCGCTGGCACCAACCAGACCTTACTTAGCTTCGCACAGGGAGACGTCATCACGCTGCTGGTCTCCGAGGAGAAAGACGGCTGGCTTTACGGGGAGCATGACACCACCAAGGCGTAAGTCTCAGAGTGGGGGCCGCCCGTGCAGCAGTCGTGAGGCCCAGCATGTCAAAGCCCCACGTTCTCCTTTTAGCAGTAGGTTGTCATTGTGGACTTTCTAGCATTTTAGCCAAAGTTAAGGTGATAGCTGAGTTCTAGTTCTAGTTTAGTTAGTTAGCTGCAGTTACTCTGTCCCAGGCTGTTTGCTGCATGCACGTGCATATATAGATAAATGTGATGCGTGACTAGATCATATGAAGTTACCTGTGAAAGTAGGTTTAAATAATCCCTTGTTTTTTAAGAGAGATGTGACTTGGATTTCTCAAGGATAATTTGCATATCAGATATACTTTAAGACTTAGCTCCTAAATGGTTTACATACCAGCATCATCAGTTCAGCCACGAGCGTGCCCAGTAGGTTAAACTGGTTTTCTGTGTAGGTTATTCAGCTATTAAATAAAATCAACATGGGGGGAAGACAAAGGGAATCCAAATAAAATCGGTGCTCTATAGCAAACACACGTGTGTAATGTGGTGAACGTGGACCAGTCCGCCCTGCGTTGCCTCAGTGTGTGTGTTGTTCTCTCGGCTATGGCTAATAGCACAGCCGGGTCTTTTTTCTCACTCTTCCTGTGCAGGAGGGGCTGGTTCCCATCTTCCTACACCAAGTTGCTGGAAGAAAATGCAAAGGAGACGGTGAATGTGCCCTCACCAAGGTAGGGCTGGCCTGTGACTGGGGCTTCCCAGGGACAGAAAAGCTGACCTGTTTTCAGGCAAATCAGAATTCCATGTGGATATGCAGCAAAGCCCATGGGAACCCCAGATGGTGGGGACCAAGCCGGGGGCGCTACTCCACGCTCATTTCCTTGTGATTTCCATTTTCTGTGGACTTGACTGAAGAGACATACCCCAGGCCCACCGTCAGCCCTCTGGAACCGTTCACTGTCCCCCATCGCCACCTGGTGGCTACTCCCAGGCCCACATTTCCCTCCCCGTCTTCCATAGCAGCCTTTAACACTGGGGAACGCGTTCTCCAAAATGTTCTCCCACCTTCGCTCCCTGCCCCTTCCCTTCCACCTCCCCAGACAGCCCCTTTCTGCCTCCATACAGGCGTCTCTGCCGCCCGCTGCTTAAGTATAGCTGCGCCTTGGGGTCCGACCTCAGGCCTTTGTCCTCTTCTGTCCTGTCTGGGCCATCTTCTCCAGTCCCACGGCTCGAATTTCTCTGATTGGCTTCACTTGGCACCTCTATCCCAATTACCCCTAAATTGGTACTCCGATCCAGATAGTAATTATTGTGTGTGTGTTTCCTAATCTCCGCCTGCTGTACCTTTTTATTGTTAATCTGTTGTAGTTCTGGCCGTAAGATATTCAGGATGTTTGGGGTGCAGGGGTTAGGATGTTACCCAACTGTTCTCTTTTGGGGTTGTTAGCCCAGCGCCAGTGAGAAGCGTGAGCACGGTGGACTTGTCTGAGAAGCGCAGTGCCGCTGTCCCCATCCCCCCACCGGACTACTTGGAATGTTTGGCCACAGGAGCTGCTGCAGACGAGAGAGCAGCTGTTCCCAAACCTACTTCCACCTTTAAAGCACCGTCGTCCAAACCGGAAACCACATCTCCTGTGAGTAGAGCTACAGCGTGTCGTCCTGTGCGCCCAAGTCCTGAGTGGCGGTCTCTGGAGGCGTGGGGTTATTCCCACCAGAGTATGGGGGTGCGGGGTGCTCTCCATGCGCCTCTAGATTCCCCTCTCCGTCACACCGCCTTTCAGCTTCCTGAGCTGCAGTCCTTTTGTTTTTATTTTATCTGTAAATGGACATTTACTCACAGTCCATCGTTTTCCAGGTTGCCTCAGGTTTTAACTCTCCTTGCTTTTGGTCCTGGCTGCAGTCCTTTAGTCATTTAGTCACCTTTTTCTGCACTTTCTTCAGTGTTCATATTTTCCGAAGGAAGGCTTAGGGTTACAAGTGGTAACCTCATCGCTACATTTTCAGAAAGTGTTTACTCGTACCGCGTGCTATATACACACTGTGTGTACATTATCTCTAATCCTAAACAACCCTGCAAGAAAGACAGACAACTAGTCTGCTGAGTACTAGGCCCTGGTGTGGGCTCTGGAGACACAAGGATGAGCAGAGGGCCACCTGCTAGCGGCGTCCCTGCAACCCGGAATCAGTCCCTCAGGTGGCCCTAGGTGGCACGTGACTCTGTAGCACCTTCTCTGAGGAGGTAACACCTAAGATGAGACCTGAATGGCAAGGAGCCCCCATGCAGGGCCCCAGGGGAGGAGCTTCCCAGACAGAAGGAGCATCAAGTTTAAGACCCCGAGGAGGGCACATGCTTGGCAGCCTCGAGGAACAGAGAAGGAAGGTGATGATTCCAGGATGCGAGTCGAGAGAGGGTTCTTGTTCTCATTTTTTTTTCAGTAGAGGTTATACCACAGAGGAGGAGGGATGCAGAAACAGGGAGAACCCTGAGAAGGCAGGCGGAGCACACGGAGGGCCTGACCCCGGCTTTAGCAGGGACGGGGCCACCACTGCCAGCGAGTGGGAGGCCCAGGGTGTGGGCTGGGTACAGCTGGACGGGACTGGGAAGGCAGGTCAGCGATGAGCGATGGGCGGGCAGAGGGGTGGGGAGATGAAGAAGGGAATGTCAGTGCCGTAGGTGTTTAGAAGAGTGAGAGAGCGAGCGAGCTACAGGAGAGGAGTCGGGACCGGGGCTAGTACCAAATGCTCATTTACAATTTGGGGCCATGATTTCAAATAAAACCCGTCGATCTGGTTGCTTTCCAGCAACCTGCAGCTGCTCCGCTTCAGATAAGAAATAATTAAGTGGGTTTGTCAGGGCTGTGGGGCTGGGAGAGGAGAGGTATGGGGGTTGTTAGCGGGGGTTGTGGTGTCCTGCACCCTGGAATCCAGGGTGAGGCGGCACGTGGGGACAGGAACGGGAGAGAAGGGAGTGGCCAGCTGGCACTGGCCGTCCCTACGAGGCTGTGTAGCTGCTGGAGTGCAGAGAACGGGAAGGAGCCTGGGAGGTCAGGGTCGGTGTGGGCTGACCAAGGTGCAGAATGGCCGGGTGGCACAAAGCCTGCCCAGCCTGTGCTGCCGCCACCTTCCTCCCGGAAACGTCCCCAGGGCCCCTTGGCAGTCCACACGCAGTTGGTGCAGAACTGCTCTTTAATTACCTTTCAGTTTGCTGTGTGGTGCTTTCTGTCGTATGTGTGGAAGCCACCTCCCTGCTCTCATGGGGAATGTGGCTCTGTCCCCGTCATCACCACTACTCAGCTGTGAAGGGTGCACCGGCGAGTCTCCGAGAAGGGAGCCGACCTAATATAAACAGCCCTGTGTTTGCTGTGAGCCCGGAGGCCTTTGGAGCATGCGTGCCTCCTGGGCTGCAAGGCATGCTTTGGTCCAGGAAATGTGAGGTTTTGAAGTCTCGCTCAAATATGTCTGTCTGGCTTTTGTTCTTAGATAAGCTCACTGCACAATATATTGTTTGCAGCTTTATATTCCAAATTGCCCTTCCCACCTTGACCCGGGGTGCAGGAGTCCTCAGGTTGCACTCCCAGTGTGGGCTGTGGTGGCGGTGCTCCTGGCCCAGGGCTGCCTCCAGGCAGACTCCACCCCAGAGCCCTCTCCCCCCACCACACACCGTCCCCACTCTCTCAGCAGCCTGGTCTCCCGCAGAGCCGCAGAGCCGGTGCTGGGCCCTGGAGACTCATCGGAGTAAGACCGACCTAGGAGTTGAGTCCGGTGAACAATGTGTTGTGTGTATAAGGTGTGCAGAGGGAAGAGGCGACAGGACAGGGGAGGCCTCAGCTCCTGCGGCGGCTTCTGGGGGCCATGCATTTGGGCCAAGGTCTGACAGTCGGAGGGGTGGGGGGCAGTGGGAAGGGGTGACAGCAGCTATTTCACATGGAGGAATTGGCAGAGCCAGTGACTAACTGGTGTAAAGCCCCTGTTCTGTCTTAACTTGGGGAGGTCTGGTTTACTCATATTTACATATTTTGAAGGCCTTTTTTTTTAATAATTTATGTAATTTTGAGCTCCAGATCTTTAACATGCCGACATTAAAAATGAAAAACATTCTTATCTGAAATTAAGTTACACATTTAACTACTAGAGAAAAACTAGTTTGGGACTGAGGTTCTGAATAATTAAAAATAACCAGGGTCATATAAATATGATTGTGTTCATCAAAGACAGAGTTACTTATGATTTTTTTTAAGTACCTACAGTTTGAGAGACAGCCCCCCCTTCACACTTTTGAGAAAAAAATAAATATCCCCACAAAAGACAACTTTTATCTATGTATTTTATGATTTGACCTATCTTAAACATAGAAAGAAATGGCTTTATGGTGAAAATTTTGTCTAAAATTCTGCAAATCAAATGGATAAATGAGCCCACTCTTGAGACAGAAATAAGATTCACTCTTGAATTAATATTTATCAATCCCATGCTATTCTAAGTAAACAAATGTGTTTTAATATGTTTTTCACCTCAAATGTTGCTGTTTTTTGGGTACATTAAACATATGCTGAAATGAGGTTCCTTTTAAATCTACCTGACAGTCAAGCTACAGGTTTTGCCTAAAGAGCAAAGTCCCAAGTTTGGTCAGGGTCCCTTTGTAAAAATTAAAACATCTAATCATTATACCTTAAAGTACATTTTTAAATAACACTTTTTCTACTTATAATAACCCAGAAAATTTTTGCTTTGGTAGAAATTTTTGAAAACCTAGAATAAGTATTAAAAAGAAAATTTTAATTATAATTTCACTTCCAATGTAACTACTGGTAACATTTCATTATATTTCCTTTGAGATACAGGTAAATATATTTAGATACATAAAAGATAGTTCACCCTCCCCCCCAGCGCCCGCATACCCGGGATCAGAGCAGCTCGTAGGAGCGCCAAGGAGCCCCGGGCACCCTGCCTGGCCTTGGAGGCGCTGCCGGCTGGGACGGGCGCAGGGCTGGCCCGGGAACAGCTCCATGCCCTTCCCATCCTCGTGGCGCCTCCTGGGTGTGGCCCCGGCTTCCCGACGTCCCAGGAGGTACTGTGGGGCCTTGTGACATGGAGACAAGGAGAAGGCACAGAAAGAGGATGGCAGCTTTCTAAGGGCCCCCGCAGACTGAGAACACAGTTCTTAAGTCTCCACTGGCCACTGATCAGTGACCCTCCGTCAGAACGCTGGTGCCGACACAAATACCGTGGTCGTCTGTGTGCTGATTAAGAGGTACTGGCAGGTGGCTGTACTGCTTTTCTGATCCGGAGGATATTGGAAAACTCCAACTAATAAAGGTCGAAAGAAAATACTGGCTTTTAAGAATCAGCAAAGGCTGCAAGGTTTGAGAGCCTCCCGGAAGGAGGCCCTGCTGGCCACTGTTCCAGAATGTTCATGTTTCCTTATCTGTAAAACAAAGTGCATCTAATCTGAGAATGAAGAGGGTAATAACCCCAAGGTAAGTACAGGGTACGTCAGAGATGCACAGTGCAGTGAAACGACTGGCTTATATTTCTAACTCTAACATCTTTTGAAGTAGTATTTCAAGACCCTATGCAAACTGCAAAAGAAGTAAGCGTAGCTCTAGCAGCATTCGCCCTCAGATGCCCCCAGTGCTGACACTCTCCTGTCAGACACACTACCACGCGGCGTCACTCCCAAGTCAGATCCGTTCCTGCCGCAGGGAGGACAGAACCAGTTTTGTCCCAAAGAAGTCACCTCAGGAGAGGTGAAAATGCCTGCTTTTAATGGGCCACCTAGTCTTGTAGCCTCTTGCAATAGCAGCAGGAGACGCAGGATCTAGTCACCTCTGCATCAGGGAGCAGGGAAAGACAAGAGGTGCGTCAGGGAATTAAGCCAGAGAATTATGGGTCAGACAAACATTCCGGAACTCTACTGCCCGCAGCCACTGGGCACAGGGGCAGCTGAGCACTTGAAAAGTGGATAGTGCAACTCAGGCTAAGGAACCGAATTGTTCATTTTACGTTTGTATCTAATTTTATCTAAATAGCCATATATGGCTCGTGGCTACCATGTTGGACAGTCAGGTCTGGGTCACACAAACTAGAAGTTCCATTTGAAAACTCTATCCAGAGCATTGATGGTTGAGAAGCACAGACCGTGACAGGCGTGCCCCCGAGGCCCTCGAGGGCAGGGCACAGAGTCTTGGAATTGTGTCTCTAAAGTTCTTAACGCCCAATTGGACAGGTAATTTATCTTTGCTAAACTAAAATGTTTAAACCAGCTGGTGACATCGGGGAAAAGTATGTTTCTATCTCAGCCAGATGCAGAGGGCCATGGGAGCTGGCAGAGCACCTTAGAGTTTTATACAGTTTTTACAACCAACCATCAGTTACCCGTGGAGTTTGTTTAAACACCAGGACACTCGGGTGTACAGTGAATACCCGACCCTGGGAGCCACCCACTATAGTGGCGGATGTTCCTGAACCCACTAACCGAGACAGCCCCGTGGCTGCCCTGGCTATCACATCACAAAAGATCTGGGACGCAGCCTTCTCCCTCAGGCTCAGGGAGCAGTCGCTGGGAGCGAAGCGTGTCCTTCTCTGCTGTAGCTGCCGCAGTTTTAAATAATCAGATAACTAGGCTTTAAAAGGCACCCAGAGCACCAAGCCCCCTTTCATCTCCAAGCGCCTCGTGAGAGCCGGAAGCGCAGGCCCTGCGAGCGGCCGCGTTCACACCTCCTCTCCACAAAGAGGGCACCTTGGTTTCAGAAAAGAGCCCTGTGACCCAGGACAGTTGGCTTTTCCCTGGCTGGGCATCAGTGTCCCCGTTTTAATAGATCAGAGGTTGTGAACTGGGAGATAAGTCCAGCCCACATCAGAGGGCTGGCAGTCACTGTTAACATTTAAACAGGTATCAGGGCCGCTGTGCTGCAGGCATCAGAGCTGACCTCCAGCTGGCTTCTGAGTTGAAGGGATGGTGTTTCGTGGGGTCAGCAGTCCAGAGAGGGCAGGCGCCCGCCCTGCCTGCCGTGTGGGCTCCGTTCCCACAGCAGCAGGCAGACGGTGGAGGGCTCCCCACTCAGCATTGTCAGTGGAACCCGCCTCGCCCTGACTGAGCCATGGAGGCCTCGCTCTCTCTGTCTGCCTGCGGCCTGGGAATCAGGCTGTGCTGGGTGGTCTGAGCTGACCAGGACCCCATAAGCTGGGACCCAGTAGTCCCCTACAAGGCAAGCGGGCCTGTGGTGGGGCACCCAAGGAAGGGGTGGAATGGACGCCATGTGAGGCAGCAGGTGCCCGCTCCAGGCGCACTTGTGTTTGGGGGTTTTGTGGGGGAATCACCAGATGTGCTTAGCCTGCCTGTTCTGCTTGGCCCGTCGGCTGGTGTGGGTTCTCGCGGGCAGCCCGCTCCACTCCAAGTGACATGCCTGGCCTGTCGGCGCCTGGTTTCGGGCCTTGAGGACCTCCTGTCTTGTTGAGTGCACTCTGGACCAGCACCGTGCTGGACACCTAGAGGGGACGCAGACCAAGCAACCGGGGTGCTGGCCCAGCCAGAGGCACCGGTGCTTCAGTCTTGCTCTGTAAAGTCTGAGAAGCATAAGATGGGACACAAACCGACCATGACGTGTGGAGGGTCCGTTTTTCTGCCGATTGGCTGCAGGACCTTGGGCAGCTTAACTCCAGATGTGGTCTGTGCATATGCTGTGTGCCCTGCACACTGTGTGTACTGAGGGGACAGAAGGGGCCCAGGGCCTGGCGGGAGCCATACCGACAGGTCCAGGAAAGGCCTCCAGAGACCTTGGTGTCCACTGGACAAGGCAGCATCTGCCAGCTGATGGAGGGTGCGGAGGGCAGAGGCTGGAGGCAGTGGACGGGCACGCTCAGACTGGAGCTTTCGGAGGCAGCGGGCGGGACAGTGAGGGATGGGGCTGTGTGGTCAGGTTGGATGGGGACGTTCTGAAGGCTTCGGAGCTAACGTGAGCGTTTGTCATGGAGTGAATGAGGGCAGTGCCACATCGGGCCTGGAGGTGCCCTTCACTGAGAGGACAAGGAGTGTGGGAAGAGGTGGGTTTGGGGACACTGGAGTTGTGCCATGGCATTGGGCTTGGTGGGAGGTGTTAAAGGGGGAAGCTTTCGGAAAATGTCCTGTTTTTTATAGTAAACTGAAGAATACCATGTACTTTTCACAAAGCAACTGGGTGTAACCAGGACCAGGTCAGGAACCAGAACATGACCAGCCCCCAGCCTGCCCGTCCTCCTCTGCCCCGTCCCTTCTCACAGTCCAGACTGGCCTGACTTTGGACACTGAGGTGGTCCCTCTGGTCCAGGCCTCATGTCAACTGTCCTGTGGTGTTCCGTTGTGTGGCATTCGCTGATAGAAAGCTGTTGTCCCTTCTGTGGATGGACATTTGGGCTGTTCTGACAGGGCTGCTCAGAGCCTGTGCGTGTGTGCTGCTTGTGCCGTCTGGGAGTGGGCTTGCCGGGGGCACAGGGTACAAACCAGGACCCGCCGCATGTGCCCGTCACTACATGGCTTCAGACTGTCACCTTGGAGTTACGTTTTCCCCTCCTTCACAGCACAGGTTACTTCTGGTCACTTCGCTTTCAAGGATGGGAGAGTATTTCTATTCCACCTTTGTTCCCCTCAAATGCTGTGGGGTAAGCACCCAGATAACACAAGGTGCTGAACTCCAGTTGCGGTCTGATGAGGGCGGGAGGCCCTCAGGAACCAGCTCCAGGGTTTGGCCCTGAGGACAGCTGGTGTGTACAGGGCTCTCCTCAGATTTGAGGACACACATGGGAGGCAGGCCCGGTTCTGCCCCAAGTAAGGCAGGAAGAAGTGGTTTCCAGTGTCGCGTGGAGCCACTCCTGGGGTGGCAGGAAGTGCGCTTCCTGCTGACCTGTGGCCACAGGGACCTTTCACCTGCAGACTCGGTGCCTCCCCAACCCTCGGGCTCTCTCCTGGGCGTCACACTTGAGGGGGGTACGTTAACGCCAGCACTCTGAGCACAGGTAGGGTTGCATTACAGGCATCCTGGTGTAGTTTTTAAGTAAATCATAAATTAACCGTTAATTGTCCTATAATAATGTTACACCAGAAGTGCTTGCTCTGGGGCATTTAAACCGTTTAAAGCCTTTAGCGCTAAGCAGCTGCTTTGGGCTGCAGTAAGAAAAGTAGACACCGCACCGGGGTGCTGCCTCCTGGTGCCAGGCTTACCATCGGGATGGCCTTGCTGGCCCTGGAGTTTAAGGTCAAGATGTGAGGTCCTCAGAGGCCCAGAGACAGCAGGCCAGGTTTGAAGTAGCCCCGGTGTCCCTAGCACCCCCCGACCCCCACCTCCACCTTGAGTCAGTAGGGTAAAACCCAGCCGAGCCCTGGACTGGGTTTCAGCCCCCAGGTAAAGTGACAGGAGCTCATCTAGTCCGTGTTCAGAGGTCTGTGCCCTGAGACACAGTCCTGGGAGCTTTCGGGACAGTCGGGTCTGGCGGCGTTGGTCACACAGCAGCACACTGCCCTCTGCTGGACGGCCATCTGAGTGAGCCCAGGAGTCTGGACTCGTGTGGTTTCTTAGAACAGCTGGAGCCTGTGTAAGGCAGATGCTTAAAGCCTGCAGGCTCTTTGGAATGAAGGAAAGAAGGCACACCTGGTCCCTGGCCTCAGCGGGAGCCCCCATGTCCCTGGGAGGGAGGGAGGCCCCCGGCGGCACCAGAGGCACCAGAGGCAACGCAGTGTCTGCGTGGTTGATCTTCTCTTTTCCTCACTTGATGGAACTTCCTACAGGATCTCTGGGTAGCAGTTGGCACCAGTCTATTGGCACCAAAACCCAACAAGGTTTTATTGTCACTTAACAGAGTTTTTTCATGGCATCATTCATGAGTGGGCTCCCAGAAAGCCAACTGCAGTCAGCCACTCGCCTTGCACCCGTAAGGCCAGGGGCAAGGCACAGGCCCTGCCATTGCCCGAGTCTGACATGTCCCAACACTTGGGAGGGTCCATCACTATCTTTTAAAGTGTTTTCTGTTCTTGCCTTTATTCTTTCACGTGAATTTACAGATATTTAGATAGTGTCAAATGAATTGAGACTCCAGGACACTTTTAAACATTCATAGCTTTAAACAGTCCCTATGTTTTAGATGCCTTTACGTTTTATTTTAAATGTCTCAATTTCATGAGCCTTCGATAAACGTCATCTTTATCTTTCCCACAGAATAATACAAATGGGACTGCCAAGCTTCCTTTCCTCGGGTAAGTTTCCTCTGCTTGGTATGTTTAATTTTCTCCTTAAAGCCCTTCCGAGCTGGTGAGTTGTCTGTAGCGCCCCCCAGAAGGGCCTTCCTCGGTGCACAGCCCAGGAAACCCGATCCTGAGAAAGGCCTCGGGCCTGTGGGGTCAGAAGGCCGCCACCTTGTTCCTCTCCCAGTCCAGGGAGGCACCTGCCCAGATCCAAAGGGTGGTCTCCTGGTCACTCACTGTTTGGCAACTTAATCCAGACCCAGGCCTATGTGGCTCTCCCACATAACCCACTCCCCTAGAAGACTAGAGCTGGGCTCTCCTGTGTCCAGTGTTTAAAATTGGATAGTTCTCTAACTGGTGGCATGGAGAGAACTGCCAGAGTGAAATTTTCCTATTCAGAAAATGCTGTCTGGAATGTATAGGAACTATATAACTTTACAGAGCAAGAATAATCGTTTATAGCTGTTTTAAAATCAAATTCCCATCTTGTAGCATTTCTGCAGACATTTTTTTCTTCCTCCACAGTGGAGAAAACCCCTTTGCTACTGTGAAACTCCGACCGACAGTGACAAATGACCGATCGGCACCAATCATTCAGTGAACAGGTGGCCAAGGAGTCCTGGACCTTGTACTGTTAGTTCTCACTTGCAGAAGACGCTGTACGTTGGTGTGCGCTGTACCTGCCTCACCAGAAGGCGCCTGGCTTTAAATGTCTTCTACTTGAGCAAATCAATGCGTTCTCTAAGATAAATTAGTGTAGTGGCCAACTCAATCATTTAAAATGTCTTCTTCCTGTTCTGTTAAAAAAAAGAGTAAATTTGGTTCCAATCCTTACTGTATCATTTTTAAAATATTCTGATTAATTTTTAAATAGCCAAAATAAGGGATAGTCTATGCTTTCATGACTGGCTTTCTGTACCTCAGTGCAAACGAGACCAGTTTTATTTTATAAAGCACCTGCTCTTAAGTAGCATTATGATGTTTATCTAAAGAAACATTATATCAATTTGCATCTTCACATGCAAATAATTTTAAGCAATATAAATTATGAGGATATTATATAAAATTTAATTTTTTAACTTAAAAAATTTTAATTTTTGTTTAATCAAATTCAGAGCTGCCCATGATGGAGAAATCCCAAATTTCCCCATGATTTAGACACAGCTGTAGAGCCAAGACTAGCCTGTCCCTATGACAGCCATGATATTAGTAGTACTTGAATAATTTCCAACAGCTACTGAATTTCATAGTTCTGAGTTACCAACCGGATTGACCAATGAAAACCCAGCAGGCCATTCTACACATGGGTCTGGCTCATAGGGTGACACGTACGTGCATCTGAGGGTGCCACATATGGAAACCAGGGTGCCCTTGCTAAGCTAGTTGACCAAAGCTGCCCCCATTGCTAATTTGGGGTCCGAGTTCCTCCACTTTTCAGTCAGGTATTGACTGCCCTGTAATCTGCTTATAAAGCCAGGCGGACCTCTGAGCCTGAGCCTGGTGGCTGCAAGGGTCTGGATTTTAGCTGACACCTGCCTGGGAGCCTGGGCTTCTATGGAAGGGAACTCGGAGCAGGTGGCCAAGTTCGTCTCTGGCTGTCGGGGGTTAGGCCCTATTTGGAGTGGAGAATCGTGATTAAAATTCACCCCGCCCAGTCACTGTGTGGGCAAGGGAGGGGGCTTGTTGATTATCAAGCCCCCTTTGGTCTTGAGCTCCTTTGATCTCACCTTGAATATTTTTCGATAAGCCTGAAATTGGCCAAGGTCAAATGCAGGTAAAACCAGTGTACGTGTGTGACACTCCGGTTCATGGTCCTGTCCTCCTGGCTGGTTGTTAAAGGAGGGCTGATGGCACAGGACTGAGGGCTACCCCAGGACCGACTCAGGAAAAGTGCAGTTGTCAAGCCACACACTGTCTTGAGACAGAAGACGCTCCAGCCAGCAAAGAAACCACAAGTTCAGTTAAGTGGCCCACCGGTGCTCTCACCACTTAGGTAAGAGTGGGGTTCACAGAGGCCCATTAAATGCACAGTGGGGGTGGGAATGAGGTGTAGACTTTGGGAAGTATGTTAATAAGGGAGAAGTGGGGGCAGGCCACAACCGAGCTTCGGGGACTCTATCCATTCTGGGCTCGTCTGGCTTTGTTACAGGGGACAGGAGGCCCTGGGCTGTTTGATGCAGTCTGCAGGCCCACTCAACCCACGCAGCCCTCACCTTCACAGAATGGACTAGTGTCACTTACCTGCCTCACACAGGTCGGGGGGCTTGCCTTGTCCTTGGCAGTGAGGTGCATGCTCTGTAAATGTCAAGGTATTACGTTTCACGATAGTAATAAAAGAACTTGAAAACAAGAACATTTCTTGAGGTGTAAATGCCTATCAGGAAATCACAGTGGATGAGTACTGGCCATAATTGAGCAGCGCTGAAACTAGGGGATGGGTTTGTTATTCTGTTCTCTATTTTGTGTATGTTTGAAAGTTTCCAAACAAAACTTTACTTCTAGAAGTAGCAGTGTATAAACACCGAATAAGCAGAACCAGGTAAACAACGGTATGAATTTCATTTATTTAAAACAGTATTTCTCACCTTTCTCAAATTGAAGACTGCAAAAAATAAAAGCAGTGCTTTACTGAGTTGTCCCTGACCCTGGGAGCAGTGTTGCTGTGTCCACTCTGTGACCCGAGCCCGAGACTGGCTCGCACATGCCCACTCTAGCCCACCTCACTTTACAAAACAGTCCTGAAGCGTAATCAAATAAAGCTACTGTACACAACATTTACATTAGAAAAAGCTGGGTGTAGGAACGCCGTGGGTGTTGTTCCCTTTAGGTGAAGCTTGCTCCACAGTTGGGACATCTTCGCTTCCTCAAGGCAAAACAGCAGATGAACCCAAAGGGGAACAAGACGATGGCCAAGAAGATGCCCAGGAAGGTGAAGGAGTCCTCCAGCACCCCAACTCTGCAGAAAGAGAGGGACTTGGGTTAGGGCGCTCGGCCTGATGTCCCATCGGACCCCCGACACTGAGCTCCTCCCCACCCTCACAGTGACAGCGGGTGCCGGGGACAGAGGGGAAGGCAGACCACGATCAGTCCCTGCCCAGAAAAGGTGAGGGAAGACGACTTCCTGGAAGGCACCGTCCCCTACAAAGGCACCAATGTCGGCTGCCAGATAACCTGCCACGTTTTCTTTTACAAAAGAAGGAACAAGAAGCAAATGGTAGTTTCTATAAAAATTCTCACGTCTCTGAAAACAGCAAGACCAAGAAAACCAAATCATTTTAGAGTATTCTTTCCCAATGTTGAAATGAGATTGGGTTTTTCGTCTCCCAGAGGGAAATTCCAAAAATAGGGATCGAGTTCAGAATTTTGTTCACCTTTTGTTTTGGGGGGGAAGGGAGCAGATTTTAGTGAAAGATTAAAATCAGCCAAGTTCACACAATGTCTAGAAGGCCGCTTGAGAAATTTCCAAGCTTCCTCTTCAGAAGAAAAAAGTCAAGTTTACCTTTAATGTGCACAGCACATAATACCTAACACACCTAGGGGACATCACCCAAATCTTGTGCAGTGAGTATAGCTGCAGAGACCTGAAGTCACCACTCAGACTCCAGGGTCATTTTCAAAGGCCCAAGAAGCGGGAAGCAGGTGTGCGCAGCCCACCACTGCTCCTTGGGCTCCTTCTGGGAAGTCCTGGACACAGAGCTGGAATTCAATGAGAACCACAATACCCAGCTCAGCCCAGATGAGACGTGCTCACCCAGGGAGCCAGAGAAAGCAGCAGGAGCGAGCTCCTCCTTGGGTGGCCGGGCACCTCCAGCCCTTGTCCACCCACTGAGCTGAGGGCCTGTGGTGGGCGAGACGCTTCAGCAGAAGAAATGAGACTGTCCTGAAGTGGGAAAGGGTTTGGCAGGAAGCAAAGGCCACGACTGCAGGTCCGGAGGGCCTGACCGCCCCTTCCTGTTGCTTGAAACGGAAAACACTTCACGCTTACCTCGCATTGCTAAAGTGGACAACTCGTCACTCGCCCCCTAGAAGACCCATTCCCATGGCCCCCACTTGTCCATCCCAGCTTCCTCGATCTTTCTGAAGCCACTCTGACCAATCCTCAGCCTCCATCATCGGCAACTACTACTAAGGATCCTTTATGCCTACAGCGTTCTGCATGCTGCTGCTGCGCCTGGTTTTACCACCTGGCGTGGAGAGGTTCCACTTAATAAACAGAAGCGCAAACAGGCCGGCAGAGGGGCGCAGTGGTTAAGAGCTGGTTTGGGACGCCAGCTCTGAGCAGCAGGACCCGGGTTTGGATCCACATAAGGGCCAGTGACACTGCCCTCTACAGCTAAGATGGTGAACAACAGCTCAACCTGGAGCTGGGCTGCTTTGAGTCGCCAGCAACGACATAGTCTGCAGTGGGGCTGGCCGGCAGCGGGCATGCGCTTTCATGAGCTGCCGTGAGCGGCCATCCAATGGCCAGTTAGTGATCGCCTCACCCGGGAAGAGCGCAATGATAATACCAACTTGGGCCAGTGAAGCGACGTCCTCCACAACTAGACTGAAGAACAAAAGGACAGGAACTTGTCTGTCCCCCTCCCCCAATTCCCCAATAAAATCTTTTTTTAAAAAAGCAGAAAGCAGGAATCAAGGTGAAATGCACCAAAACGGCCTCCTTCGCTCCAAATGCTAAGGCTGCTGAGCTGCCTGCCAGGCAACGTGTACCTCGCAGCTGTGGGGGCTGCGGGGGTCAGCTCCAGCACGGCCCACGGCCCTGCAGAGCAGGCACCAGACATGAATGACAGTGGGACCTGCTCCCTGCCCCGCTAGGAACCATGAAAAAAATACCAGACTAAAGGAAGTCTGCCTTTCAACTACTTGAAGACAAGGTCAAAGCCACTTCGCACCCACCCACTCAGGAGGGAACTACCTAGAACACATCTACAAGGGACACAGTACATTCTAGAAGCATTTCCCAAGGTGCTCACCCTGAAACACTAGTCTCTCTTTGATAAGCTCTACAAAAAAGAAAGTGGGGCAGTTCTTTGGTCAATTTGGGTAAACTGCCTCTTCCCACCCTTGGAATCACAATGTGCATTAGTTTAGGAAAGACCCTGAGAAGTCCTGCAGAGAAGATATCCGATGAACTTTGTTTCACCCAGTGTTCCCCACACTCACTGATGCCACCCCTCCAGTGTGTGCTGACTGGCTAGCCTGGAGCACAGGCAAGGCCAGATCCATGGGGACAGCTTATCAGCAGGCCTGAATTTGTGTCGCAGTTACCATTTCTTACAACTACTACAAAGGCGGTCGTCTCCTCACACTTCTTCAGCCCTCCCCGTGCGAGTCCAGACCCAGCCAAGTGGAGCCCACACCACATCTGCCCCAGCTTCAGGGCCTTCTCAGGCCACGTGTCGGGGCAGGTGGCATAAGAACCAGCTGAAGGGCCGGCCGAGTGGCTCAGTTGGTTAAGAGCTTGCTCAAGAGTGCGAGCTCTGAGCAACAGGGTTGCTGGTTCAATTCCCGGCCCGAGCGGAGCTGCCGCTGAGCTGCCAACAGGCAGCAGGATGGCTCAGCTTTAAAAAAAAAAAAAAATCCAGCCGAAAAAACGCCTAAGGCTATGCTGCAAAAGTAGGGGATGGGGACTTCAGGAAGGCCCTGAGTCACCACCAGCTGTGTCCCCACGAACAGGTGGACATGACAGGCTGCCCTTCGCTGGGAACACACCTGCTCTGTCCAGTCATGGCCAACAGCTCCTACAACTACTGATGCTAATCAAGCCACTTCCAGAGGCGCTGGAGGCAGCCTCAGACCACTCGAGAGTTCTGGCATGACGGAGGCCCCACGTTCTGTTTCCTCCTACAGCTAAAACCCCGAGAACCACACGGGTCTGCACATCCTGTTAGAGCGTCCAGTGAAAAACAGAGGGCAAAGCAAACCAGGCCTCACACCCAGGTCACCTGCAAACCAGGCCTCACACCCAGGTCACCTGCATCAACCAAGAACCTTCCAGAGGAAAAGCCTGCCCCCTGAAGGAGTAGCCAAGTCCTCGCCCAGCATCGCCTCCAGGGACAGTGATTACCTAGCTGAGCACCTACCCAGGCTGGACACTGTATTATCTCACCTGACACAAAGCTGTTAAGAGGCAGAGCCCAAAACCCAGTGTGTCTGCTCAAAGGCTCCAGGAGATGGCTGGAGGAAGGCTGGGCCAGGGCCATCCCTGTCCCCTCAGTGTCCTGCAAGGGGTGAAGCCCTCCAGCCTGCTGCAGTCTCCCAGCAGTGCTGCCCTGTGAACCAGAGCACAGAGGGTCCCATCTGCTGGGTGCTGTGCTCTGGGATCAAATGTCAATGGGCAGCAGCCCCCACCTGCCTCTTCCCTTTCTCTATCCAGACCACAAAGCCTGGTCTACACTGGAAAGCCGGCGGAAGCCCAGAGGGACTGGCCCCGCTGAGCACTGATTCTCGGAAGCCGCCAGAGCAGCGTCAGACCAGCCTCGAGGCCCGTGCCTCCCACGCTCTGCCCGGGGAGCTGCTCGGCCTCCCGGACACGAGGAGCCCCCTCATTCCTCAAACCTGCAGTGTTTTCTGACCAGAGCCAACTGGCAGCCCGAGCCACCCTTTCTGATGTCCTCCGTCGGGAGCACAGGTTTGAGACCTGCACAATGCCCCCCCAAGAGCCCCTCCTGAGCCCCGTCCACCGGAGCACAGCACCCACCTCACTGTCCCCTCATTGGGCCAGGCCACTAGGCAGCTGTGTCCTCATACAGATTGAGGGCATTTCCCTTCAGGAACGAGGGAGCTGAGCCGAATTCGTCCCTGCTAGCGAGTCCGTGACCAGACCCAGACCACCTTCCACCGAGGGCAATGGCCCAAGCCTGCGGGACCAGAAAATGGTGTCTGCCCGGCCCGCAGGAGGCTCTGAGCATGGGGGCAGTCCTCAGGTGGCACACCTGCCACCTCAAGAGTCTGTACCTCTTACCCACAGCTCGAAATGCCAAAAAGCTCAGAAAGCAGAGCCTTTTCAGTAAGAAGCCAACTCACCTGCCAGCCACGGGTGACCCAACCTGATTTACCCACTGAATGCAAATATTCACATCTTGCTGCAGAAATATGAACATGACTAAGGGCACTGCCCCAGACCTCCAAAGCAGTGTTGCAGTAATTTAGTTTAAAAATTCCAAATCTTCTGAATTGAGAAATACAGCCTGGTCTCTAGGCCAATTCTTATGCAGCAACACACACTCCTGTATCCAGTCCTGTGGAGCCCCCATGGGAGGGAGGGGACACCCTGACCAAGCATGGGGTGCGGAGAGCCCTGCCCAGGGGAAGAGCTGCCCTCCTACCAGCCTGTCCCCAACAGCCCACACTTGCTCCCTCTCCAACGCCTGATCAGCCCCAATCAGTCCCGGGCGAGTGAGTTTCAACCCATCAACTGGCTAAGAATCCACTGCCAACAAGTGGCTGCAGGCCCCGCCCCCATTCTTGAGCAATAGGTGTGTGTGGAGGGGGGGGTTTCAGGGAAGGATATGGAAGCTGGAGAAATTAGAGAACTGACTAATTCTGAAAACGCTTATTTAACTCCTGACTGACCTGAGGAAAGTGGCCACTGGATTCCACTGACATCACTGCCCAGACAGCAGGCCTGTGTGGCCTCCAGGAGGAGCAAGATGGAGGCCCTGCAGCCCACATGTCCCCAGGGCGTCCCCAGGCCGAGCACCCAACCAGGAAGGACGTCTCCTCTTCACCTCCTGCACTCACCCAAGTACCATCCATCACTGTCCCCTTCCAGGAAGCTGGAGCCCAGAGCAGGGCATGCCCTGTTCAGGCAGCTGGCTGTGTGCTGGGAACAAGCCACACTCCCACCCAGAGCCAGGGAGCCACCCTGTGAGCCCGGCAGCCAGTGCCCCCTGCTCCAGCACTCCTCACTCGCCCCACACTCCACCCAGCACAGGGTGGCTCAAGGCAGCATCCAGCCCGGGAGCAGCCCCAAGACCCGCCCTCAAGAAAGGCAGCCTCCTCAGGAAAGGGGGGCAAAGGATTTCCTCCAGGTGATCACAGGCCTGGAGCCAAGGGGAGGGAACAGGTGCGACGCCCCAAGCACCCAGCCAGCTCCCTTTAGAGACCAGGTCACATCCCCACCGCGGGAGGCGGATCTGCCGGCCTCCACTCCCTCCCGACAGGCCGCCGAGGGGGGTGGGGAGCTGCCGCGTCAGGGGCAGTGCTCAGGGCCTCCGCAGAGCCGGCAGCCACTCCGGCGGCAATGGGAACAAGCCCAAAGACCAGGCCATCTCAGGCCTCCAAGCAGAGTGCAGGCCTGGCCAGGGCAGGGGCCTGGGGCTCCACCACCCCAGCCCCCAAGGACGCCCAGGTCCAGCTGCCTAGAGCAGGGGCTGAGCCTGCGATCAGAGACGGGGAGGCCCACGAGTGTCAGGCCTGCCCGACCCTCACTGGACCACCCAAGCTCAGTCCAGAGCAGCCACACTGGAGACCCTGAGCCCCACGGTCTGCACACACTGCCCAGGGCAGCCCGGTGCACAAGCCCCAACTCGTGGTGCACCCAACTCGTCTGCCTGCTGCTGCCCCCTCAGGCCAGGGAGAGCCCACATGGCCCATCCTGGAGGCCTGTTTTCTAGCCAGTCCAGGCACAGCCAACTCCCCAAGGCTGTCACACGCCCCTCCTCTCATGACTCCTCCACATTCTACCTGTCACCCATGCCTTGTTTCACACCCTCGAGACCTGCCTCTGCCCCCAGGAACTCTCCCAGGGTCACCAGCAGCGCCCATGGTGACCACCCAGTGCCACATCCTGGACCTTACTGTTTTGACCTCTGTGCAGCATCTGACCTGACAGCTGTTCCTTGAGCCTCTGTCTTGGCTTCCAAGGCCTCACTTGTTCCTAGGTTCCCTCTTACCTCCCAGGTCACCCCCAAAACTAAATACCGAATGGTACTACACCCGTATCAGCAGGCCAGGCTCTGCACCTGCTTTCCACACGGCCCGGACTTTGACCCTTGCAGCCCAGGGCACCCTCTCAACAGCCCAGGGTAAACCCAGCCAGGCGTGGGATCCCAGACCCACAGTGCTGCCACCTTGGCCTGCATCTAGGGACAGCCACACACCCACAGGAAGACCAGTTCAGTGGCCAGGGGCCTGGCAGAAGGCCCAGTTGGTCAAGGGCCACAGACAGGGTAAAATAAGGAGCCACACACTCACGGGCTGGGGTCATTAGAAACGCTCATGCAGCCGGCTAGAAACAGAAGGTGGAGTCAGGCTGCCTAAGGGACGGCTGGACGATGGCAAAGTGACAAGCGACACAGGCCTCTGACGCCAGCCCTCAGAGGGAATCACAGACGTGTGACTTCAGCAAATTCCTTCCAAGCTGCCAGGGAGGAAGGGACAGAGCTTGGCAGGCTGGATGGAAAGGGAAGCAGTATGGTCACTGAGAAGGGGCCCATCTCCCAGCCCTGTGACGCCAGACAGACGCGGTCACACTGGACTTAGCCCAGGGGAAACCTCTCCATTCTCCCCAGAGAGGAGCCGCCCCAGGCCCAAGCACAGCAGTGCTTCCTCGCCCCTGCCCGCCCCTCAGGCTACTGGCCAACCATGCCCCGGGCTCCACCTCACGGGGCCAAGGGGCCGCCTACTCCCCAGCAGGGAGGACAGACCCACTGCATGTGAAGGACCCAAGTGCGGGGAGTGCCCTCACTGCTGGCATCCATCCTTCTCACCCCACGGACAGGAGGGCCCGCAGGAGGACATGCCTCAGGGGGAGTCCAATTTTTTGGTCCCAACTGGGTCCCCAAACTTGTTCTCGGAGCACCCACTCCTCTTCACTGCCTGCTGCCCACCACCCGGAAGCAGGAGAATGGTGATCAACATAAAAGGGAAGAAGCCTGTTCCCAAAAGACCCTCCCCGCCCTTGATCCAGATTCTGCACGGCTGGGGGTCCTGGGACAGAAGCCACAGGCCTCCGAAAAGAGGGAAAAAGGAGGTATCAGGGAAAATGCTCCCTACCTGGCAGTGGCCTGGAAGTGTCACAGCCCGGGGACATCTCAACCTTCAGGAGCCTCTGCTCCTGAGCTCAGGGGCTTAGGCCAACTAGAGCCTCACAGATCATCCCATTAGACACCCCCACTTCTCAGATGGGCAAACGGGCCCAGCTGGCAGGACCAGGATCTGAACCCGGCCCCTCCCGCAAGCTGGGCTCTGCTGGGAGCTGGCAGTCAGGCATGGCTGAGATGCTCGGAAGTCCAGTCAGGCCACTCTGAGCAGGAGCCAGCCTGATCCTCTGTGAATCTGCCAGCCTGACACCCATCCTTAAACTTGGGAGATCACTTGAAGACCATGCCCCCCACCCAAAAAACAAAAACAAGCCCTTGGGATCCTCCAGCTGAGCTGAGTGTGGACCGAAGGGCCATACACACAGCAGCGGTCAGAGCACCCAGGACCAGCCCCAAAGCCCAATACAGCAGGTTTCCCATCATCCACCTCTTCGTGCAACTTTCCAGGATTCCTGGTGGCTCTCTCGACACGCGAGCTCGGCCCAGCAGCACATGACCAGCCTGGGAGTTCATGCCCCCTGTAATCCAAGCCCACCCATGGCCTTCAAACCCCAACAGCTCTGACGGCCCCTAGTGTCGCCTGGGGAGAGCAGCATTCAGGAGGCAGCCAGGTAGCAGTCTGCCCTCCCCTACCGCCTCCTCCACATTCTCCAAAGGCCTAAGTTTCACCAGCCGTGTCAGAGGCGACACCCTTTCTGGGTTTGCAAATGGGGTCCCCTGGCTGACACACAGCTCCTGGGGCTCTCCCCTGCCCACAGCCCCCATTAGTTAGGCATGCCGCTGGCTCTGGGGGTCCAGCCTTTTGCCCCCATCTCTCATGCCCTCCCTCTTCCCAGGTGCTGGTTTCCCACAGCTGCCCCCAATGACACTGAAATCATTAACTTCCCTTTGACTCCACTCGGGGCCTTTCAGATACGCTTTTGAAATTAAGTCTAAGTGTAAGCCAGGGTTTCTCAATTCCACCTCCGAGACTTGAACTTCCTCCTTCCAGACAGCAAACACCGTCTTTGCCAAGTCTGCGCGGACTTTCTAAACTGTGCGAGCACGCCAATCCCCCAAGGGCAGGGGCCCAGTCTTATCTGGCTGTGATTCCTCAGTACCCACAAAGGACAAGCACCTGGCTAGCTGCACCTCGGGCCCTATAATCACTCATCACAAGCTTCTGCAGGCTCCAGTTTGCAAATACGAAAAATCGTGCCTGCCGCAAAGAACGCACCACGGCGTCTCCATCCTCACCCAGCTAACGGCCCTGCCAAGCATGAAGCAGCAGGGCCAGCCAGTGCTCCCCTGGCCTCTTGCGCCTCCAGCTCCCGAACACACACACTGGCCCTCTGGGTCAGGGCTCCCCTGGCCGAGCGCTTCCCGGGCAGAGGGGACCTTCCACCACCTTCAAGAATCAACAGAGCAAACTTGCAGGTCCCTGAACCAGGGATGAGAGGCTGTCAGTCCAACTGTTAACAGTTCTGCACCCCGTTCACCTGGGACTCAATGGCCCCAAGCACTCAACTCCCCCAAGAAAAGGAACACCCCCCCCCCGCTTGCCCATGAATCATGTTCCGACCCAGGACGACTGAGCCCACTCTCTCCACCACAGCTTGTCCCAAGTCAAGGCCGACCTGCCCCCACCACTGCCTTTATGAGGTTCTGGTTCATGTTCTTGGAGGCTCCTGGGGGCCAGCCCCCAAGCCTAGGACATACCTACCTGCAGACTGGGCAGCCACCGACGACAACGATAGAATTGGCAGGGTACCGGGTGACATTTCGGCTGTGGATGCTGTAGACCCTGGGGTGGTGGGTGGGGATCCCTGTGGACAGGAAGGCACATCAGCAGGGGGCAGGGGACAGGGAGGAACACCTGGGAGCGGAGGACCACCTCTGCCCTTCCTCCCCCGCCACAAAAAAAAATACCACAACTCCTTTCCAAAATCAAGACAACTGCTTTCACTAAGTGCTTCCTAGGGGTTTTACGATAGTAGGTGAAGTGCAGACAAGACCTCGTTAATCAAGTTAATTTGAAATGAGGTGGTGACGCTTCCCGGGAAGGGTGGGCCCGGTGTGCGCAACCCCCCAGGTGGGCTGAGGGTGCTCGGGCAGCGCCCAGACGCAGAAGCTCGACAGCAGCTTCCCGGTGCGGGAGATTTCGCCCCAACCCTTCCCCACCGACCGCCGACCCTGAGGCCCCGGTTCTCGGCAGCGCCCGCGCGCGCGGGTCCTGGGCAGCACCTGGGTGCGTCCGGAGAAAAGTTGGTTTCGGGGTTAAAGGTCGCCAGAAGCCTCGGCCCCGAGTTGGCTCCGGGAGCCCAGGGCCCGGCGCCCCGCCCGCTCGGCCCCGCCCCGTCCCC